TATCAGACTAAAGTTAGCATTTTCCAAGATGTCCTACTGCACCTTTAATTAAAATTGAATCAAATGTTATAGCGACATTTAATCATTCTGAATTTACAAAAATTGTTCCTGAATCAGATCAGAAACCTGTGAATCATGAATCTAATCGATTTGCTGACTACCCGAAGAGTCACACTATTAAATGTGACCACATAATCAAAGCCTTTATAGAGAAAGTCATCTTGCCATTGCACACGCTCATGTACAGTTTCCATAAAGGAAGTCATAGCAAATTTGTCAAAGCATGTTAACGCTGATGTTTGTGACAGATTTGATCCTATAAATGATTTAGCTAAAGATTAATCCTGATTTCCATATGGTGTATGTGTGACATTATTGTAAATTCCTGCCATATGAAATTTTGTCCCTGCCTGGAGGACAACTTGAGTAAAAACTGGCTTATTATGCCCTACAAAACCTGTCACTTTTTCTGCATCCCTCCATAATGACTGTACAAATGACCTGTCAGGCCAGCACACCTTTACTGTCATTATCTCAGCATCTGAAGTACACTCCTCCACTGATCTGAGGTCACACACATCAGATAACATCACACATTGGCCTTAACAAGCTCTGTGGGATCTGAACTGGAATCAGTCACTCATGCTGCCAGGATGCCCATCACTGCCAAGAGCAAGAGCATGGCGTTCTCATGCATATAGATATACCATAAGACAATAGTCATCTTTAATCTCCCCTGCTTATTCTTAAGTTAACTTTATTTATAAAGCACTTTTAATAATACAGATTGTGTCAAATCAACTTTACATTATTAAATAGGAAAATAGTGTGTCAATAATGCAAAATTGACAATAGTAAACACAACATTTTCAGTTAAAGGCAGTTCATCATTGAATTCAGTGATGTCGTCATCCAGCTTAGTTCAGTTTAAATACAGGTGCATCTCAATAAATTAGAATGTCATGGAAAAGTTCATTTATTTCAGTAATTCAACTCAAATTGCGAAACTCATGTATTAAATAAATTCAATGCACACAGACTGAAGTAGTTTAAGTCTTTGGTTCTTTTAATTGTGATGATTTTGGCTCACATTTAACAAAAACCCACCAATTCACTATGTCAACAAATTAGAATACTTCATAATACCAATAAAAAAAATTATTTTAGTGAATTGTTGGCCTTCTGGAAAGTATGTTCATTTACTGTACATGTACTCAATACTTGGTAGGGGCTCCTTTTGCTTTAATTACTGCCAATAATTGGGTGTGGCATGGAGGTGATCAGTTTGTGGCACTGCTGAGGTGGCATGGAAGCCCAGGTTTCTTTGACAGTGGCCTTCAGCTCATCGGCATGTTTTGGTCTCTTTTTTCTCATTTTCCTCTTGACAATACCCCATAGATTCTCTATGGGGTTCAGGTCTGGTGAGTTTGCTGGCCAGTCAAGCACACCAACACCATGGTCATTTAACCAACTTTTGGTGCTTTTGGCAGTGTGGGCAGGTCCCAAATCCTGCTGGAAAATGAAATCAGCATCTTCAAAAAGCTAGACAGCAGAAGGATGCATGAAGTACTCCAAAATGTCTTGGTAAATGGGTTCAGTGACATTGGTTTTCAAAAAACACAATGGACCAACACC